TCATAGTTTTATGTTCTATTTGCAAAATTTATGAGTGAATTTGAAAAATGTATCACAGGTAATTGTGTCTCTTACTTAGAAATTACTTTGGATCGATATCCATGTAAGTAATAGCAAACCCACCGTACTGTCAATTCCAAGTGTTATTAACATTATGAAGAATATAAATGACCAAGCACTACTATAGCTCATTGTGGCCAAAGCCTGTGGATAGACGATGAAGATTAGAGAAGCATCATGATCGCCAACTACCTAAACGAGCACATCAACTGACATTTTTTGAGGTCAACCGGCCTTAACTTACCTCGCTAACTTCCTTATTTGTCAGTTCAGACATGTAACCAAGTGTGGAGAAGATCACGAAGCCAGAGAAGAAAGATGTCATGCAGTTGATTGCGGATGTTACGACAGCATCTCTAAAGCAGTTTTCAGCCATGAGACTTTCCTAAAAGTGACAAATAACAAGAGAAATACCTATAGCAGTTATTGTTGAAGTCGTTGTAGCTGCTGAGCGCTAGAAGCACTCCAAATCCTGGTCCAAGTGAGAAGAAAATCTGCGTGGCTGCTGCTGACCAAACCTGGGTTACATGCAAATATCAGTTTACCACTTATTAGCTATGCTTTTTTACCTTAGGATCAGACAATTTAGTGAAATCTGGCATCAAATAGTAATAGATTCCTTTACTAGCTCCGGGAAGGGTAACACCTCTTATCAGAAGGATAGTCAGCACTATGTACGGAGCTGTTGCAGTCACCCATACCATCTGAGAAGCTAGCTCGTAGAGGGTAAGGCTTGTCAAAGATCTTCGCTAACCTTTCCAGTACTTTTTGGACCTTTCCATATTGCAAAGTACACAAGAAGGAAAACAAATGCAAGACAAAGAGCCATCGATGGCTTTACTCCTCCGATGTCGTCAAATCCAGCCGATTTTTGAATTTCAAGCACTTCATAACTGAAACAGTTTAACTAAAGTGATCAAGTTTTTTTCAAACCTATGCGGGAGAACCTACAAATAAAATTCTTCGCTTGGTGTTGTGAGACGTTCTCCACTTTTGCTTAGAGTTGCATTCAGTGTGTCTGTACATAGGGGCGTATTCCAAGAATTATTGCAAGTTTTCCATGGCACTTCAAGCTGAATTG